CTCAAGTTCCAAGTTCTTCCTGAGTTTCTTGTCATATTCAGGGATTCTACTTTCGTATTGACCGAAACTATTTATCATGGTCGTAAAAAGCTGATACGCGAGATGACATGATAATTGAAACAGGAACTCAGTGCAATTAATTATATCTTTTTTCATAAACAGGGTCTACAAATTTGATTTTTTTTGTCATAAACAGGGTACCCCTTTCAGAATCCCAGCGGAACACCCCTACCCAAATTCTGGCGGAGTACCCCCCCGGGCCAAAATAAAGCTTGAATCCTCAGCTCTCGTTTGCCATCGTTTGTAATAGGAAACCTATTAAAGCATAGGAATACCGTAGCAAAAGGTTTTGTTTCTCTAAGTCAGGGCCTGAGAGAGTTTGGGCTTCCTGTGCTTTTTATTTTATACATGATATCCGCTGACTTGGCGAGCGGCGCACGGCCGGAATAGTTGGCGATGTTGATATAATGAGCTGAATACGGATTATATTGTCAGTGATCACTGATCATTGCAGCATAGTTTGCTATTACACCATAATGAAATAGACAACGCTCGATTTTAGCAGGATTTTAAGCGATGTTCAATAAGTTTGGTTCAATCCCAGTATTTTGAACTCTGTTCAAAAAAAAAGAAAAAAATTCGCAGATTTGTTTAAATGAAATGATACAGCACAGTACAGTATAGTACAGAAATGATATACAGTATAGTACAAAAATGATATACAGTATAGTACAGAAATGATGTCGTGCTCGGTACAGTATTGTGCTTTTTGTTCCATTTTAGGCTGTTATATTGAACATTGTAGTTCAAGGTTTACAGTACAGTAAGAATAAATGGTTTAAAATATGTTTTCAGCTGTTTTTCTGACACCCCTTTGTCCGTCCCAACGGTGTCCTTATTAACGGGGTTCCACTGTGCTACAAATGATGGCAGCTGGACTGCCGAAACATGTCTAGCATTAAAGGACTCATTATATATCTAAAAATTATTTTTCAAAACTCGAAATAAATTTTTCTTCCATCTTTTAACAAGTTCAGTTCATTCATCGTGTACCATACATCCTAATACAACAACAGTTAAGGAAACAGACAACGTGTCATTAAACGTCACCACCACAGGAAACCCACCTGTTTATGAGTACATCTGGACTCATCCTAATGGAAGTAGACTGACCGCCAATAGCACACTGACATTTACTGCCTCAAGACAAGATACTGGAACATTCAAGGTGTCTGTGTATAATGGTGTTGGTAATCGGGGTATTTGCACAAGTAACGTCACTGTACAATGTGAGCTGATGCATTTATTATCTGTAGTTAGAAAATACCCTTTAGAATACAATTGGTGTACCTCTCGTATCTTTCTTATCTCGAGTTCTTCGTAATACAAACGTGAAGTGTAAAACTTGCATGATATAAATGCTTCGATTAGAAACACACCAGTTCTTCAATTCAATATCATTATTTACTAGAAATTATTACCATTATTATTATTTATTTATTTTTTATTTTTTCAATGTTTATTTCTGTATTTTTCCTCTTATTTTAGACAAGCCAGAAAACACAAACATGAGCCATTCTCCAAATAAGACAAAATTTTGTCTTGGAAATCTCATAACTATTACTTGTACATCTAATGCAAACCCTCCTGTTGAAAAGTACTCTTTGTATCGAAACGAGAAATGGATTCAGGAAAACGATTTTGGTCTATTCAAAGTGCTGCTGGACAAAACAGGGACAAACAGATTTACCTGTAAACCTGAAAACCAGATTGGAGTCGGGGAAAACAAAAGCTTAACTTCGATCAACGTTACAGGTTTGTTCAATTCAACATTGATGCCTTTGAGGCGCAGGACTCCAACATTCTGAATTCGACTCTCCAAGCTATGTTCATAATTGCGGCTGAACGTTGTTATGTTAAGTTTTATTAAAAGCTAATAAATAAATTATTTATTTAAATTAATTTATTTCCCTGCAGAACCAACGGCAATCAGTAACTGTCAAATATTAGATAACGGAAAGGAAAGGGCTTTTGCTGTTGAGGGAAGAAATGTAATTCTGAAGTGTATTATCTCCGGTAGTGAGCCGTTAAACATAATATGGACTAATGGACAGCAAGTGTGGTATGACAACACTGTCACATTTGAACCAGTCAACAGGAGTGATACTGATACTTATAATCTGACAGTGAGCAACGGAGAGGAATGTAACAATGCAGAAACGAGTTTCAAACTTGATGTATATTGTAAGCATTATTCATTACACTTTTCTAAGCTATTAAGGCCGTTTACGCCATTGGAAAATATCTTTTTTATATTCTTTTTTTTTTTTTAGTCATACATAAAATATACTGGGCAGAGCGACCCTTGTTTAACTTTTATAGCCTTGGTTCCCGAGTTTATATTAGAGACCTTTAGCACGATGTTCTTGCTAAGTATCGCAAACCTCGGCAAACTTTCGATATTTCAAAGCAAATATTTCGACTTTTAGCAAGGCGTGGAACGAAGTTGTTGTTGGAAAAGCCGCCGTGTTTTGAGCCGTATTGTGAGCCCAGGTTTTTTTCTTTTTTTCTTTTCTTCTCTTTTTTTCTT